GTCATGCCAACATTTAGAATTCTGGCTTCCAGGACTGTGAGAGCACAAAGTGCTGTTGCTTAAGCCACCAAGTCTGTGCTATGTGGTTCAGGCAGCCGCAGGAAATGAATCCTGTCATTACTATTAAGTTGGAGCCTGGTGGTAAAACAGAAAAGAGCATCTAGAGCAGTGGTTCTCCACCTTGGCTGCACATTAGAATCACCTGGGAATCTTTCTAAACTCCTGATTTCTGGGCCTCATCCTCTGGAAATTCTGTTTCTTTTTTATGAGGTGGGGCCACAACATTAGTAACAAAGAAACAGAATTTCCGGAGGATGGGGCCCAGAAATCAGGATTTTAAAAAGATTCCCAGGTGATTCTAATGTACAGCCAAGGTTGAGAACCACTGCTGTAGGGCAAGCATGTCAAACTCACAGCCGGGGCCTCATGCCTCATTTATTTAACCTGTGTTAGCCTTTGAGTTTGACATGCTTGCTTCAGGGAGTAGGTTCATGAGCATTGAACTTGGAGTCAGGGAATTCCATCTCTGCACCTCAGTGTTGTCATCTGAGAGTGTTGAATTATAGTGATAAGAAGTCTTTGGGTTTCAGTAGCTTATGCTCTCAGGTACAGTGGGGCTTTGACTTACGAGTTTAATTTGTTCCGAGACCGAGCTCCTTAAGGAGCTCGTTAACTCAAATTACTCTGTCAACTCAATACAAAAAATCGGCGGACAGCTGGTATCTCAAAAAACTCGTTAGTTGGGACACTCGTAAGTCAAGGCCCCACTGTAATTACTCAAGGTGATGATTTACATTTGAAAAAGTTCTGCTGTTTGAAAACCATATCATACTGATTCTCAGGGCTATTTTTTTATTTCTTTTTACAAAAATTCAAACCATGAATTGAATTATCCCCATTTGCTTCTCCAGTTCCTTCATGTATTGTTGTGAGCTGATAAAAAGACCTTAGGCTCCAAGAAAATTCTGTTATTTCAAGTAGATGTACAAGAAAGAAACAAAGAAAGAAAACAGCCACTCACACTTTATCTGTTCCATAACTCCTGTAGTCTACCGCAGCCGACACAGCCACAATGAGCGCGGGCATACCGTAGCCCACCAGGTAGAAGTACTTCCTGCGTGAGTGTTCGCTCTCAAACACCTCCACCAGCATGATGTAGAGCTGCACGCCCTCCAGGAACATCCAGGTAAAGGCGGCCAAGAAGAAGAAGTGTAAGAGGGCCGCAAACACCGCACAGGCAATCTAGAAAGAGGAACCAAATGGTTGAGCCAAATTACTACTAAATGAAATATTAGCAACTACCATAAAATTAAAATAAATATTTATCAATACTGCAGTGAAAATATAGGTCTGCAAAAGAATAACCTGGGTGAGATTCTTAAAACTGCGATATTAAAACCTAATTAAATATAACCTAGCTTTGAAAACTATAGTTAACATTTTACTAATGGCTGATGGATGACAGCCTAGCATTATAATAAATTAAGATTATAATATTTAGGGAAAAGTTCTAAGAGCCTACTGATAATTATTGCTGAGATTAATCTAAAGATTTAAAAATAAACCTCAGAAATTTCTTCTCTTGGGTATAATTGTGTATGCACTAATGTATTAATTGCTAGAGAAATGCTAAAAACAAGGAGAAAAGTTCTTAAAATTAAATAGTATAATGAATTACAGCATTTTATAATTGATAAT